TGACTGCCTTGTGGTCACCTTCACAGTGGACACCAAGTCCCGCAGCTGACGGATTGTCCCCAGTTCCTGTCCATTGCAGAGATGGCAGGCGGCGTGGTCTGGCTAAGCCAGAATGTATTTGCGTCACAGGTAGAGACAGGCTGAGTCCTAGCGAGTTGCAGCACAGTCACGTTACTCCCTGTGAAGCTGCTGGAAAGACCCGTAAGGCCTGGGGAAGCGTTGTGACCATGGACACGGGCAGGTGTGGGCCAACATCCTCCCGCTTCTTTGCTGCCCTTTGGCTCCTCTTCGTCTCCCTCCTGCTCCATCTCTTTCTTCCCGTTCACGGAGTTCCTTTGGACTTGTCTGTTAAGGAAAAGTCTCAGCACACAAAAAAGTGGGGGATCATTGGCCCAACTATTGAAGGTACCAGAGCAATGTCTACCAGACTTGCTGGCCACTGGGGTTTCCCTGCTGCACTAGTTTGTCAGGACCATTGGGCACTTGGTTAGTGTTCTCTGACATTGAATTGTGTCACCTTGTAAGCTGCTCCTCCCTTCCACTTGTGGAACCCTATCGTTTTTCTTTAAATGCTTCCTACTGTCCCGGTAGCAGAAAGCAGTCGTGTACCTGCTACTGCTAAGGGTCGCTCTCTGGCTCACTGATGGAGCAGGGCTGCCCACTGCCAGCGCAAGGGAACCAGCCTGTGGGCCCAGACCCCAGCTCAGCGTGCGAGGCTGAGTCCCCCGAAGACAGAGCAGCAAAAAGACAGAGCAGCAAGTGTTTAGCGCGTGCTTGCTCTGTGTGCTGGAGCCCTCGGGGAATATTTAAAGCCAGGAGGGGCCATTGAAGTTGCAGAAGCTGGTAGCGACCCATTGAGGATGTGGCGTGAAGAGTCTAGAACTGAGTGGAGGAAGAGAAGGCAGGAGGCCCCAGTTCTGCGAGTAACCAGCTGATCCCTGGGGCAAATCACTTCCAGTCTAGGGGTCTCAGGGTTTTTTTTTTTTAAATATTTGTTTATTTTATACAAGAACCGGGGTACAGGCCAGATGCAGGCGGGAGGGTGAGAGGATTCACCAGAGCCAGAGCAGGGAACAGAACAGGCAGACTGACGAAATACACTGCTGAGGGGAGCAGTGGGTGAGACGAGAGGTCTGCCGCGCCATGTGGGACACTTGCCAGCCAGCCGGGATTGAACTGGTGCTGCAGAGGCTACGGACAGCTTCACAGCGCTGCGCTCAACCCCCTGCGCCACCAGGGAGGCCCATAGGGGTCTCAGTTTTCAAAAGGTAATCTGCCCAGATAATCTCTGAAATATTCTCTGGCATATTGGTTTGTAAAAAGTGTTAAAAACTGAAACAACACTAAATGATATTCCAGAAGATGGCTGTTCTCTCTTGCCAAATGAAGTTACAGTTACCTTCACGCTCTGTAATTGTACCGCTTGTGACGATGGACCGGCGTTTGTCAAAGTGGTCTGGTGGCAGCAGCAGCAGCAGCAGCAGGGCCCTGGAGCTTGTTAGCATGCTCATTAATGTGCCCCACCGCAGACCCACTGAGGCAGCAATGCAATGCCAGGGATGGGGTTCCACCTTCTGGTTTTACAGTAGCATGCCCCCCCCCCAGAAGATGTGATGCCCTCTCAACCTTGACAGCTGCAGGCGATAGGTATTTGGGGCTGTGGTTGGATTCTTGGGGCGGGGGCGGCAGGGGGGTGTTCACTTATCCTTATTCTTTGCTCTGGCTCCCCAGAGTCTCTGGCTTAGGGGAGGTGACATGAGCTCCAATCACCTGTCATTCTCCAGTGGTGACCAACCTCAGAGGCAGGGAGTCAGCAAAGGCAGCGTTGAGTGTGGGGGGCAGTAACAGGTGGGTTCAAGGCTAATTGGAAGGCCTTGAGTGTCTTGCCTGAAATTTGGCCTTTAGACTGCAGAGGAATAAGTTTTGGGGGGAAAGGGGTACATGAAAAGTGCTGCATTTGAAAGATGATTCTGGCAGCTGTACAAAGACGGGAGAAGTGTCTTTAGTTCAGTCTGGCGAAAGTCAGGGTGTGCAGTGAGAATGGGCTGAATTCGAATTGTGGATGGAACTGAGGTAAAGAGAGAGCGATCGTGAAAGCCCCTTTGCAGGGAAGATGGACAGGTTTTGCTGCTGCTTGTGGGAATGAGGGCAGCATTAGGACATCTTTGGTTCTGGAGCACCTCTCAGGTTTCTTGGATGGCCAGTGCTGCCTGGATGATTCTCCCGGCATGGTCACGCGGGACCGACCTGGACTCCTTGCTTTGATTTAGGAGTTCTACTTTGGGGAGCGGGTATTGTCTAGTGAGTCACATAAAATATGGAATTGTAGTCAGCCAAAAAGCTACCATGGTCATGATGGCTGGGGCAAAAAGTTCCATTTCTCTTAAGGAAAGAATGCTTGGAGTTTTGGGAGATTTGTAAACTTGGCAACGACCAGCTCAAGCCTATCAGTCAATTAAGTGAATTTTTATTTTATCATTTGTTTTATTTGGGAACTGTTGTAATAGTCATTGAAAGGACATTAATCTCCGTATTCTTAAAACAAAACAAAAATATCATTGAACATTAGGGCAAAGGACAAGAATTTCAGGGTTTTTACCTTTTGACTTCAGCAAATATTCGCTGCCCCATTTTTCTCGCTGGCTTTTGCCATTTGATTTGTTTGTTTGCATTGTTTCCATTTGTTCCCCATGCCTGGTAATTTTAGTTTCTCCTGTTCTGTTATTAATGGCTTTTCTAATTTGTGAGTATTGTCATTTTTCAGTTTTTCCAATTTGTGAATATTCTTAATGTACTAATACATCCCCAAACTGGATAAAGATAAAACCTCTTTCCACTTTGCAAAGAATGTTATTCTATCATATGAAATAAATGTAAAAACGTGTGGAGTAATTCATCTTTCAAACATAATAGTGATGGGCCTCCCCAGTGGCACAAGGGGTTAAGCACAGCAGTATGAAGCAATCCACAGCCTCTGCAGCACAAGTTCGATCCCTGGCCAGCCAGGGAGCAACATACATGGCACAGCAGACCTCTCCTGTCTCGCCTGCCTCTCCCCTCAGTAGTGTGTTTCAGTCAGTCTGCCTGTTCTGTTCCCCACTCTGTCTCTGGTGAATCCTCTCACCCCCCACACCTCTGGCCTGTACCCCAGCTCTTGTATGCATAAAGAAATAAGTGTTTAAAAAAACAAACATAATAGCAAGTATATCATGCTTTAGAAGGCTGCAAAACCCTTTGTCGGTTTATTTATTAAATTAATATATTCTTAAACATGTGATTATGTTGTAGATCTTGATTATATCGAAATTTTTCAAGATGGTGCATCCTTCATCTGAGCTGTTTATTTATACTAGTAAATTATTTTTGCTGAACGAGAGCCAGGTTACCATTTCTTCTGATAGAGGAAACCAGCCCGTGGCCATCTCATTTTTATTTAGCATTACATTTTATGGTTGCTTTTAAAATGTGTTTCGAATACTGCTATGCCCGTGTTTCTCATGGCCATAGCAGTGTAAGCATCTGAATAAAAGTAAGATCAAAGAGAAGTCCAAGCGGCCCCGTTGCCAGCACAAATGTGCCTAATTAAGGAGCTATTTGGGGTTCACTTAGGTGGGAGAGAATATTCTGAAGGACGTGATGAAGGAGCGGTTACCATGACAATCGCATTCAGAGAGTTTCGAGGAGACAATGGATCTGCAGGGCTCATCCATTTTGATTGATTCAACTGGTCTTTCAGGTTCATTCAAACAGCTGCAGTGTAAAGATTTGATTTTTGCACCCACCCACCCAACTGATTGGTGATTTGGGGATCGTTTAAGCATGGCTGTCGGTAACGATAGGGTCTCGGTGTCCATCCCACAACCCTATTGTCAAACCCCAAAGAGCGAGTGTGGATGGTAAATGTCACTAGAACATAGCTACTGGCTGCTTCTGGAATAATGGTTTGTCTAATTGCACTTATTAATTCTGTCAGGATGGGATAAGATTAACATGATTTATTTTAAAGCATGACTGACCCGAAAGTGTTCGTGTTTTCTGTTGGATTACTTTGCTGTCATCACATCTTACCCAGTGTGTTTGGCTGCTGTTCTGTTTTTATTCTTGCACAATATCATCAACACAATGTGTCTCATGTCTGGTCGGAGCCATGGTTACAGGAAAATTGGAAAGTATGCCACAAATCTACCTGCCGTCAGCGCCTCCCCCTCCCCCCCCCCAGCTAAAAGTTAAGGGGGACCCCATGCCAGCAGCATGGGAAGGTGGCACGGACTCACAGACGCAGTTAAGATCTTGCCCTCCTTGCTTATCATTCTTTGGGGACTAGTTCTGGATGGTGAAACCATGAACCATGAACCCAAGATTCCTGTGCCAGGGCCCAGACTTGGACCCAAATGCGGGCGCTGCCCTGCCTGCATGGTGCTCGGGCCTCTCCTGCCCTCTGCAGGGTGTCGGAGACAGGGCCTGCCTTCGTGTGGTTACTAGAAGGCAAGTCCTCTGCCTGTTCCCTGTCCCCGCCTCCCTTGACTCCTAAAGCCTAAACTTGCAGAGGTGGGGAGATCAGAGAAGGCAAGGAAGGTGCTGGCGGGGATGGAGCCTTCCAGAGGAAGCTCTTTTGGTTCTTTGAGGAAAGCGCCAGAGTCCTGCCATGAAGTCCAGGGGTTATGGTTTCTGTCTCTAGGAAAAATCGATTCCAAAGGGCGAGTAAAATGAAGTCGTGTGTTAAGGCTGGAGTGAAATGCAGACAGGTTTGAGGGTTGAGTTGGGTTGAATTGAAAGAGGCGAGAGGGATATGCTTGGGGACAAGCGTGCGTAGCAACAGATGAAATCGTCCACGTTGGAGAGTGTTTTCACTCTGTGCCTGCGCGGAAATAGCAGTCACTGGATGTGACGTTCAGCAGACGCCTTCGCTGTGCTGGGACTAGGTGCTTAGCAGGCCTTGCCCTCGCAGCGTCACGCCTGCCTCTGTGACATCAGAGACCATTATGAGGTCCTGAGGGTGGAACAGCCAGGATAAGGCGGAGCCAGCACTTGAACCAGGCAGTCCATCCTGGGGCCTTTGCTGTGAACAGCTGTGCCTGCTACATCTTCGCAGCTGCACAGAAGGGTGTGGAACCTTCTAGAACTGTAAGTTTCAGCCAAGGGAGTGTGGGTGGTGGGAGATGAGAGTAAAGCCTTTTTGTATGAACATACCTTCCAAAGTTCCGGCAGATGGAAGAGAAGTAAGAACTTTTGTCCCAGCCACCAAGTAACTTTAAAGTTCTGTGAGACAAATGGGACATAACATGAACGTAGTATGTGTGATTCATAGGATATGAGACTCTGGTCTCTACTTAAGTATAGGTAGGAGGAGTTGTTTTGAAGAGTTCCTTTCAAACATTCATGTTGGGAACTTAACTCTCCGTCTGTGCACAAATTGGCCTTTCTCTGGGTTTTGGACTTGGCAGACAAGAACCCCCTCCCCAAGGTCAACAGGCAGCTGTGGGGGATGCCAGGTTAGGACCCTCTGCACATTTATTTGTTTTAATCTCTGACCACTGCTTCATAACCAGCCTGGAAACAGCCGGGCAGGGGTGGGGGCGGTTCTGAGGGTGGTGATGCTTGGTGTATGTTGGTCCTATTTCGTTTGCTAGGTCCTTCTTGAAAGCCTCCTGTGTGCCAGGCGCTGTTCTGGGTGTGGGAGCACAGAAGTGAACGGAACAGATGGGGGCTCCTCTTCCTGAGCTCAGTTGCTCTTGTACATTTCACAGTTCATAGAGAAGTGTATTTTGGTGTGAGTTTCAAGATTTTGCACTTTGGGGCTCATCTGGGGCCACTTTTTCTCCTTTCTGAATACTGGGGTGGCAGTGGTGATGTGTCCTTACCCGTCTGAGGCCGGGTGGGCAGCGGGTGGTTCCTGCTGGCTTTGTGATGCGATAAGCACAGGTCACACCTGTCTCCTAGCACGATGCTGGGCCGGCCCCACCGGGACCAGCCTGACCGTGGCCTGCATCCTAATCCTCTTGCGGATTGGTGATAACCTCAGCAGTCACAGTACCTCATCGTCATGGCGACATCTGTAAATATTCCTCCGGTGACTTGTGCTCTACATTCTGTCTGGATCTGAGCCCTCTTGTGGCAAAATAGTCTAAAGATGTTAAGGGGGGAGGCTCAACTAATAAATCTGTTCTAAACGACTGAGTCATTTGTTTTGATTACCAGGGTGATTGCCAAATGTTCATTTAAAACTGAACTAGGCCGTGAGCTCACTCCACTAACAATGCTGAGTGTTTGCGCTAATACAGCCTGATAATGAGGGGGCCAGATCCGCTGCCGGTGCCATGTTATATGATAAACACTTTGGGGAAGTAGGCAGGCCATCTTGGCAGTGTTCCTGTAACTTGAAGGGTTGTAAATACAGCGCGGGATGTGTCGCCCTGAGCCAATTTAAAGGAAGTTGACTTTCTGGGTTGCGTTGTTAAGAGATTGCTAACTTTTCTGCCGCAAAGGTAACTTTGCCTCTTTGATTCTCGTGTTTTCCTGATTCTTGTGTTTTTTTGACTCAGGCACGCCGGAAGTCGCCAGCAGCCTCCAGCTGAGTTCATCCCATTCTCCACACATCCAGCTTGGGAGGTAAGTGTTCCCCGTTGCCACACGTTCTTGTGCAGACCCCTCACTTCCCTTGCCCTCCCCGACCATGGTGACCTTGGGTAAGGAGTTCTCTGTACAGGCTTAACTGGGTCCGTGTTCATCAGCACAGCCAATATCATGTGCTTACCCTGAATTTTAGCTCTCTGGGGAGGGTCTTTTCAAGGGGAAACAAAATCACTTTTACTCTGCTTTGGGGACACGGAAAGGGGGTGTGAAGCACAGTGGGCCTGCGGGAAAAGAGATGTGCTGAAGTCACTGCGTGGACAGGAAGGAGCAGGAGAGTGGCCGGGAGGAAGGAGGCAGCGAGAAGGCAGGGCTGTGACCAACTGGGAGGCATATTTATGCCTCCGGGTACAAGGAGGCCATGTGCTCTGCACAATCCTCTGATGGGAACCCCTAAGAGTGCCCCACCTTGGTTGCCTTACCAGAGGGCAACAAAGTGGTTTCTGAGCAGCACTCAAGTTCAGAGCAGCCGGAGACCAGACTGGTTCTTGCAGGCACAGTGTCAGGGGCTCCATGCTGTGGCCACTGTCCACGGTTGAGTGTTTGCAAGAGAGGATGTTCGCTTGGGGCTCCCCTGAGCTAGTCAGGATGTCGGGTTGCATCCTGCGATCCTGCCCTCCTGACACCCTGCCCCACCTCTGGCAGTTGGGGTAGCCTTTTATTTCAGTTAGGGTAGATGCCCACTAGGTGGCAGTAGTCACCTAGGTTACATCTACTTGCCACAGAATTCTTGCCAGATTCTAAACCATGTGTATTCAAACATCTAGATATATTAAACCTTTAAGAACATTTGTTTTAAAGGGGGCAGATTTTACACATTTTTAATCCAAATTTGATCCATTGTATCAGTTATGGTGGTTTTTGGAAGGCCTTCCCAGGGCCTGGAGCCTGCAACTGGCCCAAGAGCCAGGAGAAACTTTAGCCTAGCTGTCACTCAGAGCCTTTACCTATAATGGTGGCTTCTAGACTTTTTTTTTAAGTGGTAGAAACCTATATTTAAATAAATCCTTGGCCTCACCTCAGTGAAAGAAAACACGAACCAAAGGGCACCTTCCTTGCATCTCCCCTCCTGTGAGGGCCCCTCACGTGGTGGAAGGCACAGTGCTCTGTGTGAAGAGCAGAGATTTTGCATCCTTTCATAGCTCTTATTTTTATTTTCCCGGAGAAACAGAGTCTAGATTGTTTAAGGAGATAGGCCGAAGGGCAAAACATCTTCCCGTCGTGTTTGCTGGAGGTGCTGGCTAGGCGAGGCTTTAGTAATTCCTATGCACCCTTTGATCTTGACAAACATCGAGACATACTGTATGAGCATTTGAATTCAAGTGGTTTTGTGATGTTAAGAATACCCCAGTGACATCTTTAATTTGACCAAAATTTAGCCTTTTTTTTTTTTTTTTTTTTAAGAGCACTGAGTTACTCGGGTGAGTTTATTAAATAGAATCTGGCAACTTCTGTTTCACCACAACAGAAACACATGGGACCGATGTCAAGCATTAGTTCAGCAGTGACAGTGCACTTGCCCCTTGTGAGTTTTCTTCATTCATTTATTCAGCCCATTCATTCATTCATTCATTATACCCAGCTGGGCATGTTGAGTAAGCAAAACAAAAAGAATAATACCTCTTGATTTGACGTTCTTTAAGCACAGTACAACCCTAGATTCCTTTCCCTTTGCAGACGAGGAAACTAAATGCTGCTTTTGGTTTCTTTTTTAAAAATTAAACTGCCCTTGCTCAGTGAAATAAGCCAGAAGGAAAAGGAAAAATATCGGATGGTTTCACTTATAACAGAAATATAGGGGAACCAAATAAGACATCAGTGTTAAAAAAAATAATAACAGTACAAAACACAACAAAGCAAAAACAGAAAATTATAAACCAGAGACATCCTGCAGGGGAGGAGGAGGGAGAGGGATCAGAGGGTGGGAGGAGCACAGGGGACTGAGGTGATGGTGCACGGGTGCCTTGGGGAAGGAAACACTAAGGGGACTCAATCTGAGGGGGTGGGGGGAAGCAAATATTGTTTTAAAAATAATGAAATAAAATTAAATAAAAATTAAATTGCCCAATATTGAATAGAATGGGATGCAGGGGTGCAATTCAGTGTCCTGTCTCTGCTCAGCTCTTGGAGCCTGTGACTTGTGCCACCTGGTCGGAAGCGCACACAGTCCAGGATGCGGTCATGGCTGGGAATGCAGCTGTGCCTGGGCCCCAAGTTCACTGCTGTGAACTGTGCATTTCACACTATTTTTTCTAAGTTCATCTGCAGTAATCGAGCAGTTTAGGAAAGTGGACTTTGCAGTTCCCATGTGATGATACTTTGTTTTGTTTTAATGATAATACATTTATCACAGATAAGCATTACAATTCAAGAACTTGAAATGATTCCATATGGCCACCTTTTAGTTATGGAATGATTTGGTGCGAAAAAATGAACACAACCTAATTCCTAACACGTACATAAGCTGGTCCTGTGTGTTTGTTTCTGTAGTACTTGCAGTATTGCTCATCAATTAAACATGTATTTCACATCCCTGAAATATTTGTATCACTGACATATGGTCACTTTAGTATTGATTTGGCAGTTTTTTAATAATTCACAAAACACACAAATATAAGTAGTTGTCATGATTTGTTTTGTGCCATGGATATTGATGTGACCTCTCCTGCTGGTGAGCTCCAAATCAGCACAGATGGATTTCGCAGGCTGAAAGAGTTTGGAAATCAGCAGTCTAGAGCCAAGGTCTCAAATTGGTGGGCTGGATCTGGCACACAGAGGGATCCTTTTAAAATTTTCAGTGTGCCAGCATTTAAAAATTGTAAGATTTCGCATTGTAAAAATCCCAGATTTTCAGCTTCTCTTGAGATCTCTATCAGAAGATCTGGCAGCAGTGAGTCTTCACTCCTGTTTGGCAAACTGGGCTGGAGCCAAACAGCTGCCATAGCTTTAGATGGAGTGTGAACACTGAAATTTGTCACACACTCCACCACTCTCTGATGTCTCCTTGGCACTAAGGACAAGGTACGTTGCCATTCTTGGAATGTTTTATTCATTTGTAAGACCAACTCTTTAGAGGTGTGAGAATTGTCAGCCGAAGGTCTAGATGAAATTGACATCTCAAACTTAGGGTCACGCTTTCTCTCCAACTATCAGCTTATTAATGTTTAAGTGCGTGATTTGGGGTGATGCTCATTTTAATGGATACATTAAAAGGGTTGAAGTATACATTTGCGGGGAGAGGTACCTCCTGATGGTTCCTGGTTAAGAAAAGGAGCATCAGCAGAGTATGGAGTATGGGTGTTTCCTCTTATTTTGGAGAAGTCCTAGGGTCAACCCTGGTACTGCTCTAACTTGCCTGGGTAGGTCCATGGTAAGTGGTCGGTCTGAGGTAAGGCCTGAAGGTGGTGTCATTGCTAGAATGAGAACCTGCTTCTCTTTGAGTATCGAGGGCACAGTACCCTAAAGCAATGCTATACAAAAGCAGTCATGCTTCTAAGTTTTTTTTTGTCTTCGGCCTGAGAAAGCAAAGGAAATCTTAACCTATTTGGGGTTGAATCTTTTTTGATAAACCTGGGGTTCACTTCCAGTTGCATCTGGGAAAGGTAAAAAAACCAATCACTTCGAAAGATAAATGTAACATTCATTTTAAAATGTGTTTTAAGTACTTTTTTAAAGATTTATTTATTATGCATACAAGAGCGGGGGTACAGGCCAGAGGTTGGGGTGGTGGTGAGAGGATTCACCAGAGACAGAGTGGGGAGCAGAACAGGCAGATCAGCCGAAGTACACGGCTGAGGGGAGCAGCAGGCAAGGCAGGAGAGGACTGCCGCGCCATATGGGTTGCTCCCTGGCTGGTCAGGGATCGAACTCATGCTGTAGTGACTGCGGACGGCTTCACAGGCTGCGTCTTAACCCTTGCGCCACCAGGGAGGCCCTGTTTTAGGTACTTCTGATTAAAAAAAGGCCATTAAATATGTTGACTATCTCAAGAATCATGAAGTAGGGATTAAAATGTTTAATTTTATAATTATTGAATATATGAGACTCTAGAATAAATAAGTTCACAGAAAATAGGAATAATTAAATCATTTCACGTTGTAGACGCACGTCAAATCATTGCGTTGTGTCCCTTAAATGCATACAGTTCTTGTTCATTATACCACACTGAAGCTAGAAAACAAGAGTGGAAAGGAAAACACACCAGGAAAAGTTCGTGGTTTATTTGACAAGGTAATTAACTTCTATATTACAGTCAGAGCACATACAGATTGTAAGGCCTGCAACATGGTAGATGCCCCAAAACAGTTGGCTACATAAATTCTCCAGCTTCTGGGGGGAGGGGCTTGCAGGGGGCGAGACAGACTTTCATGTTTTATCACAAAGTAAATAAATGTGGGAAAACACTGAGCCTCACTGTTATGCAAAGACAAGTATATGCAAGGTGTATTTTTCACTTATTAAATCCAGAACAAAATGAAGACTTGCTGTTGATATGGTTCCCTTGAAACTGATAAACAAGCATTCAATGGCAGTAGTGTTGTAAATTGGTAAAAGGCCTTTGGGAGAATGATTGGGCAAAAGTTGCCAAAATCAGTACCCTCAGATCCATTTTGGAAAATGGGTTCTAAGAAACAGATTGTCCTGTTAAAACCAGAAAAGGTATATATTACAGGCTTTCATCACAGTGGTCCTTGTAAGGACCAAAAATTAGAAAGAATTTATAGGTCCAACCTTAGGGAACTGGTTCATTCACTCAAGAAATCTTTTTGATTAAATAATTATGAGATAGCTGTGCAGTGGGTTCTGTGAATCTCTTCAAGATTATAATGTTGACACTTGTGGGGCAATACAAAAGAATTTGTATAATATATATAATATTGCTAAAAAAAAAAAGGCAGGGTACAAAATTGTGTGTCATGATTATGACCTTGTAAAATGACGGGTACCTATGGACAAGAACTCGAAGGCCCATGGACAGA